GTGTATATATATGTGTGTGTGTATATGTGTGTGTGTGTGTGTATATATATATGTATGTGTGTGTGTTTGTGTAGGGGGAGATGGAGTTGTCTATGTGTGTAATATGAATATAGACATATAGATGATGGTGAGCAGGAGCTGGAGGTTTGTATAGAGAGAGGGATGGATGGAGGGATATAAATACATGCTGTTGAGGGAGAGAGAGAGAGAGACAGCGGAGCTTCCCTGAGCTCTGCAGAGGGCTTGTCTCGCTGGAGCCGCGCTGGGGGCTGCTGGGCCTGGAGGAGGCTCCTGTGGGCTGCTGGGCCTGGAGGAGGCTCCTGTGGGCTGCTGGGCCTCGAGGAGGCTCCTGTGGCCTCAGCGCCATGGCGATACCACAGTGTCGCTGGCAGAATAGGGCTGAGGGAGAGGGGCTACACCATAAGTGTGCCAATGTGGGGCTATTTTAGCATTATTTGGGTGACAGTGCAGTTTGTTTGTTCCTTTCTTTACACAGATTCCTTTCAGTGAAGTGCGTCTGTGTGCGTACGTTTTTACAGAGATGGTGTACCTACGTGTTTAAAGCTGTATCTGTCACATTGCTAGTGACAATCCACTTGCAGAATGGTCATGTGACTCCTCATAGTGTTAGAGCTGTAGGCAAGGCCAAGGAGAGATGGATATGTGCTGACTATGAGAATGTGGCTTTGGAGTCAGAGTCGCAGGTCAGTAAAGACTCTGCGTTTACCCCCCGTGGATGCAGGTTTCACCATGTGGTTCGACATCGGTGCTGTGATTCCAAGGTCTCAGATGGGGTTTGGAGGGTGGAGAGGCACATAAAGCATCATTTCATTAATTTCTTCAGTGACGTCAGTCAGCATTTCCGGAGCTGTGGGAATTCACTTTGCTTGGCTGTGGACTCTGCAGTCCTTGTGGGTGAGCTGTGCACAGAAGATGAGAAGGGAATGAGGCAGCATTGAGATGTGGGCCGGCCTGCTCTGGCCGGCTGTGAGCAATTCAGAAAGGGAAAGTGACTCGCAGTGCTTGGCTCATGCTCGCTTGTAGCTCAAAATACATATGAAGCACTTCCCTTCTAGTGACAGCTTGCCAGGGGGATTCCAGGAGCTCGACTCCAGCCAGCAGGGGGCCTCGTGGTTAACTGTGTGTCCTCTGTGTGCCTGAGGAAGCTGGGCTGTGCCCGGTAGCCCATGGATTAGGTTCATCATTCTGCCATTCTGCTATGGTGTCCACAGTTCAAGGTTCGAAAGAGGAAACACAGCTGATAGCTCTGTGGTGTCATGACATACTTTACGGCTAAACTTTTTACATCAGGTGGTGGTGTTTTATATTTTGTTTTATTTCCTCTCCATCAAGTAACTGTTGGATTTACAATAATATTGTAACACCTTGTAGTTTTTCAAAGCGATGCATCTTTCAATCTCGGGGCAGGGGGTGTCGGGCTTAAAATGGGGTAGAGTTGATGAGGCTGGAGACCTTTGGAAAGATGCTCTTTGTGGGGGACATGGATCAGGATTCCAGAGAACACTATAAATACCGTGAGGACCCTGATTCCGGCACAGGAGGCTGAAGGGTGCCGTGTCGAGAGTTACCGGGCCACTGTGCTTCCACCGTGTTCAGCGTGTATCAATCCAGTCGTGCAACACTTCCTGCCAGCAGCTGAAACTAGCCACCTGGGTCCCACTGAAGTGATTCTCCTCCCTGCAGCCAATCACTGGTCTGGGAAGAGATCTGTGGGAGGGAAGTCGGTCGGCGGACGGGGATAAAAGCCGGGGACAGAGTAGCTGCCTTTGATGCCTCACATGGGAGAGAACTGGAAAAGCAAGTCAGTAAATACAGCTCAGCCGTGTCGGACTGCGTTGCATGTTTGGAAAATGCTGGCTAATTTACGGTGGAATTCTGTCTCTAACCTACTGCTCTGGTCAACACTTTTATAAAAAGAGCATTTAACCAATTTTAAATCATTTTTGCAAAATTTTCAGCACTATGGGGAGGGGATTCGCTCACAGAGAGCCTGCATGCTGATTTCACTTCTGCATGCTGATTTCACTTCTGCATGCTGATCTCACTTCTGCATGCTGATCTCACTTCTGCATGCTGAATTCACTTCTGCATGCTGATTTCACTTCTGCATGCTGATTTCACTTATGCATGCTGATTTCACTTATGCCTCCATATGGTGTGCCGTGAGCTTTGTGGCCAGCAGAGGAAGTGGGGTTGTGGTTGACCCCAGCTCTGCCTCTCTCACTCTGCCCTGTCTGCTTCCTTCACTTCCCCGTTTTCATTTTGTGCTCTTTGTTTGTGCCTCGGTCCTGTGTCTTGGGGGGTGGGTGGGATTGCAGGTAAACTTGTTTTCCAATGAGCCCTCAAGGGGACCTTACAGCTCCCCCTCTACCCACCCCCGGAAGTCTAGCCAATCAAAGCACAGGTCTGCTTGCTCTGCTCTCTGCTTGGCTGCCTTGTCATGGTTACAGCATCACCGCAGATCCTTCCATGGAAACGCCTCTGATGGGCCCCCCCCCCCCCATTCTATGCCCTCCGTGGTCATCAGGGCTTATTGTCCATCGTGCTTCTCTTTCTTTCTGTGAGGGAGACTGCTGCATGGCAAACTCTGCATCACTGCCAGGGGGTTGTTCATGCCCCCGTGGCCTTATTTCACTGGGGTGATGCGTTTGGTATTTTTCCGGCTCTTTCTCCAAGGCCACAGTGCCTGTTGTTTATCTAAACACTTCAGTGTTCAGTGGTCAGCCATTGATGACCGAGAGTGCTAAGTGGCCTGTAACCTGAGCACCCTGTTATTAAAACGTCAAGCTATAAAAGCAGACGGCAGCCAGTCGGTTATAAACGCGTCATATCGGTCCCTCCATTGTCTGTGTGTCTGGAAGCGGTTGTGCTGTTTTGGATAGATTACAAGGACTGGATCGGAACCCTGTTTCACCAAGACTGTGCTTTAGGTTTTGCTTGTCATCCCACTCTTGCCGTACATCAAACATTTAAAACTGGTTTGGTCTGGATCTTAGTACTAAGCAGTCGTTCTTTTTATGGAAACTCGCCCCCTTTGTCGCGTGTTTACCTCCTGTCGGCGTTGAAGAACGAACAAAAACAGCCCCCGAGAATGTGATCCGTCCCTCCGGCCACATGATCCCGTCTGTGACAGGAGATTGAGTTCCACCGGGAGGAAACCGGAGACTCCAGGGGGCGCCGGGTATGTTGTTGCCGCCACGATAACCGGAGATAGCAGAGACGGGATGGGGGGGGGGGGCGGAGCTGTCGTACACCTGGAACGCCTGCATGCACAGCACAGGCTGTCCCCGTGCGCCGCCTGTGCCCGGCCTCACTCCAAATGAGTCTCTTGTTCACCGCGACGTGTTTTACCGTCACCAGCCGATAACCGGCGCAGAAGGAAACGGGTGTAGGTGTGGCGGCAGGGCCAAACTGACAGCCGAGTCCAGCAGGGGGCGCTAAAGCTGTATCATTCCTGCCACCCCCTAGGTGCGTAGCCAGAAGCTGGAGCACGAGGTGGAGAAGAACAAGATCCTGTCAGAAGCGCTGCAGACACTGGCCACTGAGCACCACGAGTTGGAGCAGTCGGTTGTCAAGGGTTCGTCGCCCCAGAGCGCGCTCAGTGAGGATGAGTTCTACGACGCCATCTCTGGTGAGTGTCAACTGTGGCTGCTTTCTTCTGCTTTATGACCGTAAACTTCCCCCTCGGGACAGTCCAGCAGCTGCATGCTGCGTTACGTGTCGATCTATTTCAATTCAGTGTCATTTATATGTAGCGCCTTACCTTGGGATGATTTCCCTATTGTGCTTGGTATTTAACATCAGTGTTAGGTGGTGCCTGAGATTTGACTCGCAGAAAAAGATTTTGACACTGAGTACTTTTAAAATGAGAGTCTGAGTTAAGTCTCAAGGTTTGTTTGACATAAGTGTTTATCAAAAATTTAACCATCTGCTTGTTTTTTTTTTTTCTATAATTAACTAATGCAACTAAATTGGAATCACCGGTTGAAGAGTTCAGATACTGCTTGTTTCATTGTTCTTTAGGCTTGTGTACATTTTCAGAGTAATCGCTATTTCAAATGCCTTTGCAGCAATAAAATCTTTCCAAGAACCTAAGCACTTTTCTAATGTACAGTAGATTTCAAAACTAATCCTTTCTCAAAAATATCATTATGATGAAGACATCCATTGAGCAGAACAGGTAAATTTTAATTAGTGTGAACAGTTACAAACATAGTCAGACTTGGCAATGACAACCAACTATGTAGGAGCCAGACCAAACTATGCTGAACTCCGCCCTCAACTACATTAAAGTGATGTGATTGGCTAATGAATGAGTATAACCTAGACCCCGTTTGTTGTGCTGTTAAAGTAAATGTATATTAAAGTAAATCGCGATTTTCATTTTTACACATCGTTCTAAAGGTCTAATTAATGAGTAAAATCAATTTGTCTCTCAGCTTGTGTGTGTGTGTGTGTGTGTGTGTGTGTGTGTGTGTGTGTGTGTGTGTGCAATCAAATAAATGATTATGCGAGTAACACTGCAAACTCCATGCTAAAAAGTTAAATAAATGTGTGCAGTCGTGCTGCTCTCTTAGTTTTTGGAGAGCGGTCAGTGATATTACTGTTCAGTCAAATTATTTTATTTTAAAGTAAAACATTATGTTTTTACTTTATTAAAAACTGTCAAATTTGAATTTGTGACACAGCTCCAAATAATTAAAAACATAATACTACATGCCGTACATGGGGCACAAAGAGGAGCTGGCAGTTTGTAAGCTGTAAGAAAACACAGCTTGACTTGGAAGGGTATGTCGGAAGTTATCAAATTTATCTGTGCTGATCGGTGTCACTGTATAACAACATAGTGCATATAGAATTTGTCAGGTCAGATCCGCAGTTTGTACTAGTGGCAAAACAGAAAAAGCATGTTTTGTTTATATCGCTTGATGTCTTGCTTTTCCTATGGTCTGCGCACAGCCACTTTGTGACGTGTTCAACACCTTTACAGTTTGGGGAGAGTTGTACACTCAATGCTTTGCCTGTGGAAATTTCACAGTTTCAACAGAGCCTTAAAGACTCTTATTGTTCACAAGTCGCTATCAATGAGTCAGAGTCAAGTCCGGGTCAAAATAATGAGTCAAGTCAAGTCGGAAGTCAATTTAGGAGCGATTCAAGTGCAACTTCAGTCTGAGTCACAAACTCGAGTCCCCATCTCAGCCTAAAATACGTGGATATGCATATTTACCTCACTACCCAGACACCTTGCTAGCTGACTGACTAGGTCTGTGGCCTTTAGACGGACTGACCCCAGACACATGCTCTCACATGCTAAGTTCTCAGATAGGGTTATCTTCCGGAAGGATCCCTCTGGCTTTGCAGTGTCTAAAACGGCGTGTGGGAAAACACACTTCACCCTGCATGCTGTACCAGTGTCGTTTTTGCTGATGCATCTTTAATCATGCATGTGTCTGTTTGGGTTCTATCCCCATTCGCGCTAAGTCTCACTAGGCGGAATGGCTCAGGTGGTTATCATGTTTTGGGTAGTGTCTGCCGCTAATGGACGCAAGCAGCTAAGAGGGCTTTTTTCCTAACAATGCCAGGCTTGCTTTCTTGAGTTTGGCTGGTCTCTCTTCCTCTAAATAATCCAAACAAGCCCCAAATGATTTGTTTAGCTCTGATGTTTTAAGGACCAGTTTCAGAACCCTTGGACAGATTGGGTCTCTTAAGGGGTCTTAAGATCCTAACAATGGACGCACACAATACGGAGCGTGTAGCATGTTAGTGGGTGACCTGAGCTTGGTAGCAGATGCCCTGCAATACTCCTGTTAAAATCCCTCTTTTTCATTCCTGGCTCTTTGTTGGCTGTCCGTCATGACAGATGCAGATGAGTGTTGCCTCAGTAATGTCACATAAATCACAATTAAATATAGCTTGCCACAATTATTACATCATGGATCCTCTGGGACTGAAAGCTGCAATCCAGCTTTTTAGGAGTCAAGGAAGTAGAGAATGGATTCTGGAGTGACGATCCAGCTGGAGGGGTCCAATTTAGTTCAGTTTCTTAGCTGGGCTGGTTAACAGGCTCTGTGGTGCTAGTAGGCCTTGGTTCCTGAGTTTGGACGTCCGTGGGCTTATTTGCTAATTTGCCAGATGGGGCAGTGCTTTCTTCCTTTTTTCCTGCCAACCAATATCAAGTTTGCATGTAGTTTGTGCCGTAGGAAACATTGCTTTTGGTTCCATTGTCTGGCGCCATATCTCGGCCGGAATATGAATCGGCGACCTGTGACCGTGACCACTGAACTGACACGTCGCCAGGCTGCCGGTGATGATGCTCTTAGCTTCTGATGAATCTATCCATACAAGCGTTGCCTGTGGTAGCTGGTCCACACAGTAGCCTGTGCGTGCAACTCTATCCTCAGATCGGATTTCTCTGGGCAGCGGCAGTCCGTGGGGGTAGGGGTGAGGGGCGGGGTACGTAGGGCAGCTGCTTTTTGTGGGGACGTGCTGGCATTCGGCACAGACACCCTTCACTGACATGCCGCCTCCTTCATTCTTGTCGCAGAGTCCGACTCGGAGCACTCCTTGAGTGGGTTTGAGACAGTCGCCAGCCATTCCTTCGAGGAGGACGAAGAGGAAGAACAGGAGAAGGAGAGGCGCGTCCGGCCAACGGGTGGCCGCAGATTTCCCGCCAGCATGTCACGGGAAGACGAGGAGGTCCCCTTGGAGCTCCAGGCCAATGGCATCGGGAGGCATAGGTAAGCCACGCTTCAACCTGCTTGGAGTTCTGTCACATAGGCCCGAAGCTCGCGGACATCCTGGAAAAAGCCTGCGCGATGACCAGAAATGGAGCCTCAAAAAAAAATTCATGCCAGGGAAGACTTTTGGTCTTACATCTGGTACTAAATCAAGCATCTGTTATGGATCCTGGTTAATGTGTGAGTGACTAGCTGTTTTTTTTTTTTGAACAGGCAAGGTGAATCATCTAAGGCTGAAGGGTTGTTTTCACGGCGGGATGTAGCCTGATATGCCACATGTCTTATCAGTACATCCCTGGGGTTGGTGTGGTGCATTCCCTCTGTGAACCAACACATCTCGTTCCCTTTAGAGGTGCTTTCTTTCTCCCCCCCTGATTATCCCTTGTTCAGCTGGCCTTTGAGGGAACTCTTCTCAGTCGCATTAGAGAAGCTGACCTTCTTTTTTCATGCATTTGCCAGTCTTTCCACAGAGACTGAATAATTTACAGCTCTGTGCTGCCTGAGGTTACGAGGAGAGGAGCCCACAAACAGAAACCTTTCTCCATTGAAGGCATGAAACTTTGATGAAGTTCCACTGTAATGTAGTAATTCTTGTAATTAAGAAGTGTCCTCGACTGAGCAATGCTCTACCTGTATTGTCTTGGGCTGCTGGGACATCAAAATCCTCACCTTTGGATGTTTATTTCTGGTTTAAACTAACTGGGAATTTTCTACTGAATGTTTATGCTGCTGTAGAAGACAGTTCTGACAGGGAGACAGTTGACGGGGTTGTAAGCATTCTGGTTGTGATCTGCTCCTTCTTTGTGAGTGCCCTGTCCAGACAGACAGTCACACAATGGGAAGTGCCCCCATTCACCCCTCCTCCAAACTCTCCAGTTTTGTGTCCAGATAGCCTTGGCATCCAGCCTGAGGACAAGTAGGGTCCTCAATAGAATTGTCCTGCCAGAGCATGGGTCCTGGATACTGTCAATGGGAAGGAGCGAGGCATGCAAGCCAGCTTGAATATCTGCGTCTCGGGTATATGTTTCAGAAACACAAGACGCGTGTGTTTGTGTGTGAGTGCCTGTTTATTCGTGACTTTTTAAGGGTGTTTTTTTTTTTTTTTTTTGGTAATTTCTGTGCTGGTCTTTATCAAGAAGTGAGACACTTTTGATGAACAGAGTAAAGATCTGAATGACAGTCATTGTTTGGGTTCTCTTCACCATAACATGCCCCTACTGCCTGCCAGTGCCACCTTCACATCCACTAGTGCCCACAGATACAAGCCCCTGGTAGCGCTGAGCAGTGGCTCAACACACTTGGATTCATACTCATCGGTGTCGGCCATGTTGTGTCCTCCAGGACGAGCCTTCCAGCTCCCATGTTCTCCAGGAACGACTTCAGCATCTGGAGCATCCTGAGGAAATGCATTGGCATGGTAAGAAACCTTCCTGACTCTTAGGTGACACTTGCACATTCCCGGATGCAGGATGAAGATTGGCTGGGTGGCCTCACATGTGGCTTTGTTGACATGTCAGGTGATGGGTGATGAGTGCAGCACTTCAGAGTGTTAGTGGTGCAGCTGCCCACTCGTTCTTCTCACATCTGCTCTCTCTCTCTCTCTCTCTCTCTATCTCTCAGGAGCTGTCCAAGATCACCATGCCGGTCATCTTCAATGAGCCGCTCAGCTTCCTGCAGCGCCTCACTGAGTACATGGAGCACACGTACCTCATCCACAGGGCCAACTCCGCTTCAGACTCCATTGAGAGGATGAAGGTACCCCAGGGTCTGGGGATCTTATGCCAGTACGGTTTGTGTGCAAAGCACTCTAGGACAGACGCAGATAGAAATTAAAATATTAATTTCAGGTCTGCTTTGTGAGAGTAAACAGGGAAATTCCAACATAGTAACTGGGTTAAACCAAAATATATTGTATTAAAGTATAACCAGTGTTATCTTGAGGAAGGTAAGCCAACATCTGCCCATTTATGCTTTTCTCTCGAACCCCTGACTCTAACCCTATCAAATACCACCCTGTGCCCACAGTGTGTGGCAGCTTTCGCAGTGTCAGCCGTCGCATCACAGTGGGAGAGGACGGGCAAGCCCTTTAACCCGCTGCTTGGGGAGACCTATGAGCTGGTCAGGTAGGGGCACCCCCCACCTGAGTGCTGGTGTAATGTGTCTGCTTAGACCAGGGATCTAATTCCTATCACTGCCATATCACTGGCAACGGCAAGGAGCCATGGCCACACATCCCATCAGCCCTGGGGGCAGGGGCCGCCATCATGGCCAAATCGCACATGCCCAGTGGGCTGCGGTGTTTGGTATAAGCAGGCGGAGCCATGCCGGAATCTTCTAAGGAGGCTTACCGAACGTGACATTTCGAGAGCGTGTCTGCCAAGGCGTAAATGTGAATAATTAAACATTAACCTTTATGCCGCTTTATCTGGCATCGGTACTGAGTTTTTATTTTATTGTTTTCTTGTTTCCCAGGGAGGACCTGGGGTTCCGGCTGATCTCAGAACAGGTCAGTCACCACCCCCCTGTCAGTGCCTTCTATGCCGAAGGGCTGAAGAACGACTTCGTCTTCCATGGCTCCATATACCCCAAGCTCAAGTTCTGGGGCAAGAGTGTTGAGGCTGAGCCCAAAGGCATCATTACCCTGGAACTGCCCAAGTAAGCCGGTCTTTGTTCTGGAGTCCCTAGGGGGCAGCACCGAGCTGGTACTTGAATAAAGCATAGCATTGCTGTAATTCTTTGGCTAATTCTGTTGGCTTCACTATTTATTATACCTTTATAGTTGCTTCCTTAATGATACAGTAGCATGTCTAGTGTGACCACTAGTAAGTCATCAGTCTTTTTTTTGTGTCATGAGGTATGGTGAAGCGTACACATGGACCAACCCCACCTGCTGCGTTCACAACATCATCGTGGGCCAGCTGTGGATTGAACAGTATGGCAACGTGGAGGTGATCAACCACAAGTAAGAGAGGCTGGATCCCACTGCGCCTGCAGGGGGCACTGTGGAGGCACCCCTGCTGCATGGCCCTGGTCTTTTTATATAGCTGTTAGCCGTGCCATTCATGCAGCAAAATACAGGATACAGATTCATATACAGGTGTAATTAAAGAGGAACTGGAGTGTAGTTAATGTTACTGTTCAAAAAGTATTATGCAGTGAAAGCAAAAGCGTCTTGAAAGAGCTTAAGTTTTTTTTTTCTTGACAGATCTGGGGAAAAATGCTGTTTGAGCTTCAAACCTTGCGGCCTGTTTGGAAAGGAGCTTCACAAAGTGGAAGGCTACATCCTGGATAAGAGGTAACTGCAGAGATGGGTGCTATGGCAGACGTGACCTCATGCCATCCGTGCAACGGTGCCCCCTTGCGTTGCAGCAAGAAGAAGCTGTGTGCCCTCTACGGGAAGTGGACCGAGTGCCTCTACACCTTGGACCCAGCGGCTTATGACACCCATAAGAAGAACGACAGGAAGAATGCGGAGGAGAAGAAGGGCAAACACGTATGTAAACATCCAGGGCGCCTGTAAGCGGCGTGCCTGAGGATGCTAAGGACGGTGAATCCCTGACGTGCCGGTTCTCATGAGGCCACTTCCCCCGCAGGGCTCCGGTGCCGAGGAGATAGAGGAGATGCCCCTCCCTGACGTTGAGACGGTGGAGATGATCCCGGGCAGCCAGCTGCTGTGGAGAATAGCACCAAGGCCTCCCAACTCCACCGAGGTTCGAGGGCGTACCGCCTGGCCTCCTCAGCCTCCGACTGTCCCGCCCCATCCCTGACTGACGTCTCTTCCATCCAATCATAGATGTACAGCTTCACCCTGTTCGCCATGCAGCTGAACGAATTGGATAAGGACATGGAGGGGGTCATTCCCAAGACGGATTGCCGGCTGCGGCCAGACATCCGGGCCATGGAGAATGGGGATATAGGTAGGCCCACAGCAGACCTCACAATCTCATCTGTGTGTTACAGCTTTGTTTTGGTCTGTCTAGCTTTGGAAGTGACTTTTAAATGCATAAAATTACAGGTTATTTTTATATGTACTTTTATGTAGGTGTCTATTTTAATCTTCTGGTCTAATTTGCTTGATCTTCACAGCCCTGCCTAATTCACCATCTCCCAATGAAGAGCTTGAGTCATTTGAGTAGTTTTTGTGAATGTGTTATGTATCTTATAGGTTTATTTTTGTCTGTCTAGCTTTGGAAGTGACCTTTAAATACAGATATTTTACAGGTTATAATTATAGGTGTTTATGTTAATCTTGAGGTCTAATTTCCTTGATCTTTATGCCTGGTCTAGTCCACTGTCTCTTGCAAAACAGCTCAGGTCGTTTGAGCCATTTTCATTCAAGCTGTTAATATGCTTTCATTTGCATCAGACCTGGCAAGTGAGGAGAAGAAGCGGCTGGAGGAAAAGCAGCGAGCCGCCCGGAAAGTCCGCTCAAAATCCGACGAGGACTGGAAGACAAGGTGGGTGGGGCCAGGGGCGGGGCACCACATTCACCTAGCCAATGATGTCATGGCCAGTTTGTCAGCACACTGCTTGTCACATGATTCATTAGAATGTGATGTTGCTCTTGGTCATTTCATTGCCAGTGCCTTGTGGTCCACAGTTGCTGTGCATTTGCTAACACATCACCCTTCTCTCTGATATCCCCTCCTCTGTCTGTTTTTATGTGAAGAAGCGCACCGCTCGGCCCCAGGTTTGAGTTGCTTCCTGCTGTCTGGAGTGCTTTTGGCTTGTGTTTTCTCGAACTCCGCCACCCACAGGATCACCTGAGAACTGCAAGCGCTGCCTTAATTGTGCAGAAACAGGCTGCAAAATCCCTACATTGAAATAATACAGTGGAAACTAACTAACTAACAGAAGTGGATGAATTAATCTCAGCACAAAACCATGCTTAATCTGAATTTCACGCCTAGTCTTTGTGGTGATGGTGTGATTGTGTTGATTTACATGATCAGATCATTTGGCTGGACACTGCCCAGGAAAAGGCTTGGAATCCACAGGCTGTTAACTACTCAATTGAAACCTGGGGGTGGATCTGTGCTGCCTAATGAATTAGACACAGTCAGCGGGGCTATAACAGTATTTTAATATTCCCATAATTCAGAGCCTTATTTCCTTTTTGCATTTTTTTATTTTTATTTTTAACTGTAAATGTTTGGCAGTTATTTTCGCTTGGGTGGGCAGTGATTTTCTGTCTATTGGACTGAAGGTGGCACCTCCCAGAAGCTTCCCCCCCCATGACGAGCAAGTGCTTCGCTTTAGAGTTAGATTTCCTGGGCTTTCACAATAGTAATATTCAGAGGCCTCTCAGGTTATTCTAGGGTTGAGCACCATTATTCGGTTTTCTGTAGCATGGCAGTTTCTGAAAAACATACATTTTAAGTGAAAATTAAAGATCACAGTTTCTTGTTAGGTACATTTTCGGAGCTGTTCATACTATGCAAATTTAATAAGCATATCAAGATAAGATTAGACCTTTATTAATCCCACAGTTGGGAAATTTGCATCGTTACAGCAGCAAAATGGACTATACAAGAGTAATAAAATAGCAATAAAAGACTATACAAAATGACAATAACTATACAATATATAAATATATTTGTGAAAATGCATATATACAAAGGGGGCATCATCAGATGCCTAGTAGCAACAGAACACAAATAGCAGCAGGAGTGGAATGTTTGATCTGAACGGCAAAATAATATTAGAAATTAGTTAAAGAAACACTCTTGTTAAAGCCCATCTGTCTATACAGGGTGTGTCTGTGTTGTGGTGGTGGTTGGGGGCAGGGCCACTGCAGGCGGATGGGCATTCTGACCAATCATTCTTCTCTGCTTTTTTTAAGGTGGTTCAACCAAGCACCCAACCCTCACAACGGTGCTCAGGATTGGATCTTCTCTGGCGGTTACTGGGACAGAAACTATTCAGGGCTTCCTGATATTTATTAGCGTGTCCTTTGATGAAGTGAGGATGCTCGACATTTCTGACATTGTCAGCTTCTGCAGTTGAATTCCTGTCCTGTGAGTGGTGCTGTTCTTTGTTGTTGATGTTGTGACCCCTTTTTTTGGGCTGGGTTTTGTCTTTTTTTTTAAAAAAAAAAAAACATTCCCCCCCCTATAATTGGCCTTTAACACTTGTTTAATTAAAAAAAATGTATTTAAAGTATTTCCAGTGTAGATGTGTATTTTTATTTTATATTTTAGCATTTAACCGCACACATTTTCCAGTAAAGCACATTTAAATGAAGTCTGTCATAATGTCCCAGACCAAGGATGAGTTGCTCAGATTTCAAATCTCTGTGAGGAGTTAAATCATCTCTTTGCACTAATACCATGTACGCTTTGATTTTATTTTTTAAGATGCAGTGTCTTGAGTTAAATATGAATCTGTTGTGGTGTCTTCTCTCCCTGTGTATGAGTAACCCGGCTGCAGGTAGTGCTGTTGTTTTTGGGGTTTTTTTCCAGCCTGTGTTGAGACATACAGCTTTTGTTTTTTGTTTTTGTTTGTTTAATGAATGTTCTTGTTACCATATCAGCAGTGTAAAGTGCATTAAAGGAGCACTGATGGTTCATGCACCTGTGCATGCAACGGGTTGAAGTTACTTGTCTGTGGCGTATTAATTGAGGGAGTCGCTTCGAGTTCATTTCCGGCTGATGTCCACTGCTGAACTTCAGACTGAAAGGTTATCCTCCACCAAACCCTACTGCAGGGTTTGGCTTCCTTTCACCCCTGTGACCTTCTCAGGACAAACTGTTGAGTGGATTTGACCCCTCCCCTCCCCGCTGGTTTCCGACATGGAGACGTCTCAGTATTTCCGGAACGTTCCTGTTCCTGCACCGTGTGGTCGTAGCAGACTGTCTGTTGGAATATAAACAAACTGTGAGAGTCCCACTTGCTGCTGACGGCTGTGTCATTTACGTGGAATGGCACAGTCTGCCTCGTGGATTAACCGGGATTTAGTAAGGATCGCAAATGGGGCTGGATGCTGCACCGTTCTTCCTTGCGTCACAAAACAACATTTTCAAGATATCACCTATGCAAAGCAGGAAGAGGACCCTTGGGTTATAGGTCAACTATGTGTGGTCCAGCCCCTCGCCCTGGAGAACAGACACTCATGTGATCACTTATAGGCAACCCTCCAGGATACTTAGTTTGTCATACTGACTGTAGGTGAGCTGTTGAGCTCTTAACATGTAGTTTTACTTGGTCTTGAAATCTGTGTATATTAAATGTTAGACTATAATTTCTAATGCTGCTAAATAAAAGCTTGTAATTAGGAATGTGTATGTGGCCCTGTTCTTTTCAGCGTGAATGGCTATGCTGTCATCTGCAGGGTAAGGTGGCGAAGACTATATTCCCCCTGAATGCTCAGTCAGTCACTTCACATCTATTTATTCAAAGCAATGTCAGCCAGTACCTGGAGCAATTGAGGTTAAGGGCCCAATGGTGAAATCATTCTGACAACCACAGGATTTGAACCTGTGACCTTAACACAGGCACAACAGCCTTACCCACTGAGATACACACAAAGTGCTTTGAAAGACCCACCGTCACAACATCCTCGTATTGCATGGTTACTGCTCCACCTTGCATGATATAGAGTATTGCACCTTTGTCTTTTACCTATGTGTGTACACATACACAGGCATGCTGACGTATAGGTAATTGTTCCAGACTCTACAAAGGATTAGACACACGACTGCCATTGTCCCCTTGCGGTTTATTGCCTTGGGTTACAGTCAGCGTCAAAACCTGTTCAGAAATAGAACACGTATGTGTCACTAAAGGTCCACGTAGCCACCTATCTCAATTGTATGAATAGATCAACCAAACATCATGGTGCAGGAAGAAAATCATTACAAGGATAATCTGAATTCTTACCTCTGGTCCTGTTCTCCAGCATCTCTGACAGCAATTTGAAATCAAACATTTACCACATGTATGTTTTAGGTACAGAACATCGCATTGCACAGGAAGACGAACACGCTGCAAATGGGAGCGCCTCTGCTCGCTGCCGATTTGCTGTAGAGGCTCTGTAAGGATCGACATGTCTGTGCTGCTCCAGAACCTCCAGCGTAAATGCTGATGCTCCTTTCTATTCCTCATCACTGACTTCTGTGGTTTTCGGTGAGGGAAAGACCTTGTTTCGAGGAGGAGCACAGCTCAGTGTCTTAACACACAGTCATCATGAAATTCTGCCATCAGCCTACAACAGGCACCATAAATGTGTATGTGCGAGCATATTATAACGCATATTGATGTTCCTCAGTTTTAGGATCAATCCATCTTCAATGCCAGGCAGCACAGGGCTCAAGGCCAGGAAAAACCCTGGATTGGACGGCCATCACATTTGAACAATTAAAGAGGTTCGGTCACAGCTGCTCGGGTTGGAGGACATGCGCTGTACAGCATGTTGCCGCACCCACTACACGACAAAACACCTTAGGATCCCAGTTGCTGACCCCCCCCCCCCCCTCAGGCTGACATGCGGTCCAGTTCCACCCTCAGTAAATCAGCGTCCCCTTGGCCTGGTCCAGCTGCTCTAGTCCTGTGAGCCTGATCACTCTCAGGGAAACGTACCACATGGCCGTAGTGCCATAACTGACGCTCCCTCACAATGCAGGTAATGTGCCTCATTCAGGATTCCCTGAGCAACAGCTTGTTTGACACGAAGTCCAACCATCACCAAACTAAAGATTCTCAGTAGGGCTGGGTGATATATTGAGTTTTTAAGATATATCAATATATTTTAATATGAGATATAGGATAATATCGTTTATATTGATATAGTTTATGCTGCTTTAAAATTATACTCATACAGCTGCCAGTTCAGCTATTACTCCTCTCTCTGTCTCTCACATAACTTCACCCGGCCCCGCCCCCTGCCCCACCCCCTGCCCCACCCCCTCACTCAAACGTCCTGCATGCAGCATGGAGACAGACACAGACACGAGGCAAGCTGGCGAGGAGGAGCTGTTTGGTAAAGTAATATATGCCAGTAGTTTATTTGAGCCGTTTTTTCCCAAGTATGTGTACAGCTGTCTGTTCATAAAAGTGCCTGTTTGACAGTGGGGACATACGGCTCCGCCTTGGTACTGTGTTTTTGTAATTATTTTATGGGGACAAAAATATCGAGATACATATCGTACATCGCCGTTCAGCTAAAGAATATCGAGATATGATTTTTGGTCAATTTCGCCCAGCCCTACACCAGAGAGACATAGTACTGAAGGAGTGCAGTCTTTGTCTCACAGCCATGTATCAAAACAGGGAGCACAAGGGGCCGGTGGTACAAAGCACCTTAAGTTTAGGTTTTTCTAATTCCAAGTTAAGATTTCCTTAAAATAAAATCGGTTGCACAAAATACCCTTAAATCTATTCCTTATTATTTCATTAAAGTGTTCACTTAAAGTATTTAAGTTGTTCTCCTTATCTTGGTCTTATACTTAAGGAATCCCAGTTGCACAAAAGACCTTAACAACCTAAGTAAGGAAAACAACTTAAGGTACCTCTGACTGTATCTTAACCGCAACACAGCTGAGTTTGTGGAGATAAAAGAAGAAAATTAACGCATCCCGAGAAGACATTTCTGCGAACCCAGTGCATATGATTAATGATCAATTTATTTTGCATTATAGATTTGACCAGAAGTCGATTTTGTTTATATGGCCTGTGACATGATTATGATTCTTTATTAAATTTGGGTAGCAGATCGATTTTTTTCCCCCACAGAATTAAAAGCGACACAACGTCATTCCACTAATACCGTGTTTCCCCGAAAATAAACCCTAGCATGTTTTTTCAGGATGCTTGTAATACAAGCCCTACTCCAAAAATAAGCCTTAGCTTATATCCCATGGATTGTACGGTAACTAGAATGAGATGCGATTATATGTAAACAGGAATTAGCCTAATATTTTGACTCCCAGACAAGATGAGTGCAAAAAGGAAGGAAATTCTGGTTCTAAAGGAAATTGAGTTGCGAGATATTCAGGATGGAATTTCGGAGCTTGGAGATTTACGATGATGTTCCAGAAGATGATGACATGACGACTATATTTGAATAAATGTATGCACAGTAGATTTTTGTTCATGAATAAATGTACCGTTAGATTGTTTACATGGAAAGATACGGCTAGAAGATGACATGGTGTCTGTATTTGAATAAATGTGGATTTTTGTTCATGAATACTGGTAAATGTACTGTAGTTTGTTGAACATGGGAAAATGACATCCCTTGAAAACAAGCCCTAACACATCTTTTGGAGCAAAAATTAACACAAGACCCTGTCTTACTTTTGGGGAAACAAGGTAAGCACCGGCTTTTATTTTTTTTATTTATATTTTTCAGACAGATGTGCATTAATGAAATTAAACATTTTAGTTACATTCTTGTTTTAGTTTTTGTCACATGAAAAAAAGCCCTTCATCAGGTCATAGTTTCGTTAACATTTTCAACCAAACGAAATTAACACTGGCGGCGTACCACAAACATGCGTGAGTGCAACCAAACAAATGGTCCCCACTGAAACTGTACAATTTACTGCTATAAAATTTCTTTTAATGCAGTAAATTCCTTAAAGTTTTTCCTTAACTAAGGAAACTTTTTAAAGAATTCTGTGCAGGACCTTTAAATAAACTTCTCAACTAAGGAAAAATCAAACCTTAAGTGCCATACTTAAGGTGTTTTGTGCAATCAGCCCCAGGACTCTAAAGACTTGGATCTTCGTCCTCTTGCAAAGATATCAGGAGTTCCACACACCCCTTTCCAGCAACCTCATGATCACCCATGGTCTCCCAATTTGTCCTCCGACTTTATAGGAAAGGTCACCAGAGACATGAATGCTGCAGCCGAAGTAAGTGAACCTCGACACAGTTGACACAGAGAGACTCAGGAGGAGCTTCTATCCTCATGCTGTAAGACTTCTCAATCAGGGCATGACACCACTACCTCTCAAATATTATACAGCAGATACGTAAACTGCATGGACGCTATCCACTTATCAAGGCAAACTTCAATGCACACTGCACTTTGCACAACAATCATCTCATGCGTCACCACTTGCCACTTTGTTTTTGTATATGTTGTATATATTGTTAAATTCATTCTTATTTGTCTGCACTTTTTTACTCTGTTTACTCTTTTTTGCAGTCTTTGGATCGGTCAGGGTTCATTTCACTACATGTTTTACTTGTTATAACTATGTATGTGACGAATAAAGAATCTTGATCTTGATCAGAGAGACACACTGCTGATGGCGATGCCCAACAGGTCATTAAAGGCCTGGATCTTGGTTTTGATCTATAGGACACTCACAAACCGAGACACTCAGACTCCTCGATCAATCTCTCAAGAGCCCCAATCACAGCCTCCATTGACTCCACTGCATCCCCACCAACGTCAAGATCAGTGAATCTTTCTCACCAACAGATACCCCACAGCTGCCGGACCTCAGGACCCTGCACGACACCCAGTCCATGCAAGCACTGAACAAAGTAGGAGCAAGAACACACTCCTGATGAACCCCAGAGTCAACTGGGAACGCAGAGGGTCAGCCTCCACTCTGAACAGCACTCATAGTACCAGTGTACAGGTTGGCCAGATGTCCAGCAGCTTCTGCTTACTGGTAGATGAGCGAGTAATGATGGATCCTGTTGAGGATGACCCTAGGAAGGACCTTACCCGGCACTGAGAGCAGTGTTATCCCCCTGTAGTTGCCGCAATCCAGGTGATCATTCTTCCCTTTCCAGATAGGGAGAAAAAGTCCTGTTTTCCAGTCAGACAGGATGACGCCTATCTCCAAACTAGAAGCAAAGACTGTTTGCAATGTCAGGAGGACAGCCTTCCCACCAACCTGGAGAAGTTCACCCTGGATCCCTGTGGCTTTCCCTACCGCCAGCTGGTTCACCACCTGTGCAATCTCAGCGAGATTGGGTGGCTAATCAGCTAATCAGCTTCAAGAATTGTGGACCCACAGATGCCCAATGACCATTGCCGGAGGATCAGCTTTAAAAAGCTGCTCAAAGTAGCCGGCCCAGTGGGTCACAACTACAGTGTCATCTGTAAGGACATCACCTGCCCTGACTGCGACTCTCCAGGGAACAGATTGGGATATGCACCCTTCAGTTCGTCTGTAAGCAGAATGGAGTCACTAGACCATAGATGGAGAGTCACTTTCTCACAGATTCCTCTAACAGATGCCTCCTGATCTGCCCTCAGAGCCCTGGATCCTTTTCAGTTCCTAGAGAGCTGTTGCCATCAAATTGTGCGCTATGCCGCCTATCAATGATATCCAGGGTGCCCTCCAAGATTAAACACCTCCTTCTGGAAATACAGGCAACAACAGCACAGCCCTCAGCAACCTTCAGGGTCTTGTCATGGAAGGTCTCCCATATCATATAAGAAACAGCTGTTGAACCCAAATCTGCAAGTTCCTCACGCAATCTGCATGCAAAGTCATTAGACACAGCCTAATCTTGGAGTCTGGCAGGTCCAGCGTCATTCTCTTAGTAGGTGGTTGCCTACTGGCCTAAGCTAAATCTTCAGAGTAGCAACAACAAATCTGTGGTCAGAATTCACAAACTGGGCACTTCTGTAGACCCTGCAGTTCTGTAGCAGCCTCCAGTATCTGCCTGAGAGGATGTGATAGATCATCTTTGCATCACTGCCAGTATTGGAGTATCAAGTCCAACAATGGGGCTCAGGGCACTGGAACCAGGATACAGTGACCTTCTGACCTTCTGCAAAGTCAAAGAAAATGGAGCCATTTTCACTTACCATGGTCACCAGACCCATGGAGACCGACCCATCCCTCCTAACTAGCCCTGTCAGCACCACTGAAGTCACACATGAACAGAGAAGTGTCACCTTGCGGGCACCCATCAACCACCAAGCAAGGTTGCAAATAAAATGTCTCCCTCACCAAGATATCACTCACCACTGTCGGAGCATATGCAGAGCCAACAGACAAGACACCCAGAGAGTGCCTTAGTCTGAGTCTCATAATACGCTTGTTGAAAGGAGTGACATCAGACACTATCTAGAGGAGCCGATCTTCTATAGCAACAGCTACTCCATTTATATAGCAGCCATCAGAGTAACTAAACCAACAATACATGTACCCACCTACAGTGATATGGCTGCTCCCCAGTGTGCTTACCTCAGACAGTGCTGCCAATGAAATGCAGTTTACGAAACTCCTCCACCTCAGGTTAGGTGCTGTCATGCAGTGGGGGGATTTCGGCTCCCGAAGGCTGTCCCCCATCCCCTTCATGATACGTGCAGCCTTCCTGTGGGCGGCTGCAGCAGAGCTACTCCCACGGAGGGCAGAAAGGACTCCTGCCTGTCATTTTGGAGATGATTGGAGTTTTTATGGTGACTGGAGTGCCAATCCCGTCACCAAACCCCAAATTATTCCCTGCAAGTTCGAGGGCCTCTTGCAGGGCTGGATGCAGTTTAACGTCATACAATTTAAACCACATTTTAAGAACATGTCTTCTCTTCCTGGCACTACACTGCCCCCCCCCACCTCCCCATCTAAACAACACTTTACAAAATGTATTACATCATCAACTCACACAAAGAAATTACTACTATTAAAGTGAAACTTCATTTCTGTTTTCAAACAAAAACCAACAATATTCACAGATTTAGTTACCTTTGTTTTACACTTTTTGTTCTCTGTAATACAAGTGCCAGGATGTCAAAATTCATTTCACACCCGTAATGCATCTCCTTTCTGAAATGTGTAAGTCACATCAGACACAAACGCACCATTTACACAGCAGTGTACATTCAGGGACATTCTGAACGCTGTTATCACTAGCAATACACATCACCTACCACACGTGCCGCAGTAGCTCATGGCTGGCTTCTTACGTGGTCTGGTTTTGCATAACATTACATCAGCCCAAACCCCAACTCCCTCTTTCATAATTCCTATGGCCCCATGTGTTTTTAAAAGAGAGATGATTTGTTTTCTTTCAAGTCTGTTTTATTGCACTTTTAACTGACAGTTGTGATTCCCATACCAACCGTAGCCAAGTAATCCGCGTAAAATATTCTGACAGATCAAAAAATAATATAGGCTGTGTTGAAACTTCTGTGCAAAGCTACTGCATCATTTAATCAACACAATCGTAAAGTAATTAACGTGTAGGTGTGTATTTTATTGACTACAATCAGAGTCTTGGAATACTAATTGATTAAAAGATAACTTTTGATTCCAAATATTCGGGCATTTCTAGCGACAGGCAGCAGCTAACACAATCACAAAACAAGAATATGAACATCCAGCTGCTGAGAGTTGTGCTGTTGTCAGTCAGTCCCTGGATTAAAAAAAAAAACAGCATCCTACCGCTGAGACACCTGACAGGTACGATTTACCACGGTACATAACCAGCTCCGCTAGAGAAGCAAACTATTTACCATAAATCTCCTAGGCGGGACCTGAGCTGGGCTTCAGCTATTCTGTGGTGGATGAACCAAACGGATCAAACAGGTCAATGGTGAGGACTACTGTCATTTCAGAAAACTCTCATTACAGAATACAATGTAATTAGAAGAAAAAAAAAGTGTTTGAAAGAATGCAAAAAAAGTGTGCTTCTGGTGCTTAAAACTGAATGACTCAGGGATGAGTGGCCATGTTCTTAATCAGAAAAGTATGTGTGCATAAAGGCTTAGCACATATAAAACGTATGAATTACAGTGCAAGTGGTTTGTTTTCTTACCATTTCATGCCTGACTCTGCTGACCCCTGCTGGTGGCTCTAGGAATATACCCACATCACAGGGACCAAAAACGTAACCACGACCCCTACAGTGGTGGAGACACGGCCTGACACTCTTGGGAGGGCACCTCCAAAATGCCATCACATCTGGCCTGGGTTACAGCAGGTGGCATAGCCCATAACTTTGTGGGAACAGTTTGGGGATGGCCCCTTTCTATTCCAACATGACTGTGCATCAGTGCACCAAGATCCCTAAGGACATGATGAGCGAGCCTGGTGTGGAGGAACTTGAATGGCCTGCATAGAACTCTGACCTCTATGATAGAACACCTTTGGAATGAATTAGAGCCAGGCCTTCTCATCCAACATCAGTGCCTGACCTCACAAATGCTCTCCTGGAAGAATGGTCAAAAATTCCCATAAACACACTCCAAAACCTTGTGGACAGCCTTCCCAGAAGAGTTGGGGGGGGGGGGGGTACTGAATCAGCTCTTGCTTGCCCTGGTGCTGTGCTGGCACAGGCCATCGAAGACTGGCCCCTCATTCCTCCTAGTGCTCTGCCCAGATGACTCACTGTATCCAGTCATGGAGGTCTGAGTCGAGAAAGACTAGCATCCTCTTTTGGTGAGGGCTGTCACCCGTGGGCGCACCAGGGAAGGGCCTTTCCCTTTCCTCTGGAATGGTTTCTTTTCTCTACATGTGTTGCCTGACATGCACTTTGATGAATTCACAAAAAGAAATGCTGTCGTGTCCTGAGATGTTCCCCTGAGACCCTCTGGTGACAGAAGAGGGTAAGTACACTCAACAGGTTCTTCCTGTGCCATTAACCCCAGGCTGGTATCCGGTAGGTGAAGCACCATGGGGATTCCAAGGCTGCATCCGTCATTTAAGAAAAGTGCTGCAGATCCAGAAATTGCAGAGGTCCTCTGTTCAGGAAGCTCTTGCGGTTCCCGACCCATTCGTGATTTGTTGGCTAGGTTTTGTTCCGCCAGTTCCACAGAGTTAAGGATCTTCACTGACTAAGTTCGTGTTTTGGAAGGTGAAGCATGCACTAAAAGGACACACACATCAGATACGCGCACAGCAAAAAAAATAATCTGTTTTGATGGACCGTCAGTGTTAATGCTGAAAGTAGGGGTACTGAGGGTGTTTCAGCACCCCCTCTTGGCTGTTTTGTCAAAGAATAACAAAGCGTTAATTGCCCCGTAGTGGCTCAGAAGCGACTTTATGATTATTTCCCCAACAAGACTATTGCAGTTAGTTGTTGATAGCTACCGCTGAATCAGAAGAACTTCAAAATATATTGGTCATTCCAGCTTCCAGAGCTCAAAATGCCTTCCTGCCCTGTCAAGCTGCATCATTTAGGAACAGGTTTTGAAAACAACACACATTATGCAGTCATATTTCGCCGTGATACTAGGCGGTAGGCAGTTGAGTGAACGTGAGAACTCACAGGCATTTCACGCAACACATCCTTGCATGGTACATCAACACAGATTCTTTATTGTCGTCAAAACATCTGGCATCCCTCCAGGCACACACATTCTACTATAGAACACAGGAAGCATATTTCTTGCCATTTCGCTATTACAATTTCAGTTAAGTGCCACTGCTCATTTACCATCAGGCCAATCACAATACAACCTTATATTTCAGGCACCAAAATAACAGGCTACCTTGATGTTACACCTGAAGATGGACCGTATTAGGGTCCTAAATTAAAAAAAATGCTGCCAATGTGTTGCATTTAGAAACATTTGTGTTATACCTTATTATTATTTGTGTTGCCATATCCAGTGTGGCCTCGTAACAAATCTGATTGACAGATATAAAGAACCTGAACTGATTATTCGAAAATTGCCACGTCTTCTTAAATTTGAAAAAACTGCGACACTGAAACTCAATGTGTGAAACCACAAAACTCCATATTGCAACAATAAAGGCAGTACACTATAAAGTGTACCAACACCCCACTTTGAATTACTGCCAGTAGTCATTTTAAAATATAGCTAAAAGGCTATATGTGAAGTGTCTGTCATATGGAGGAATATCACCCTGAATTAGTCAGGAGTTTTTTTTTTTGTTTTACCCCAAGATTTCGCAGTAGATTTTTTTGGTTATTGCATTGACATATTATAAACCCAAAAAAATGTATTACATGCTGCTATCCAGTAGCACATAAAATGGTATTTTCATAGAAATTATGTGCTAAAAACCTCCATTAAAAAAAAAAGTGTACTGTGAAATAAAGTGCTACTATGATGTAACTACAGTGTTCATGCCTAGTTACCATGGGGAAAATGTCACTTGATGACGTACGAGCTGAAACAGATCGGTAGGGGACCGCAATAGCCACTTACATATTCCAACAAACAGAGTTAGGATCTGCATTGGGAAGATGCAAGTCCCAGTAGTGATAATTAACAGCCTGTCCAAGATGGAGAAATTAATCTTAAAGACTTTCGAGATCAAATGCAATAACTAATGGTGTGATCTCCAGTATTTACATACCAGCATTTTCTACAGAGCAAAATTCGTAGGTCAAGGTTATAAATGAAAATGAACATAACACATTGTCAATGAATTTAGACATTTTAGGAATTAGTGATGCCCTTGATACACAAACACTAAGTGATTAGGTTTGATATTACCTGGAACTAGTTAACCACAATCTTCGTGTTTAGGCCGACTTACACGGCAACACACCACATTGCCTGTAACATTCCACAAAGACTGATTTTTTAAAGGATTTCAGACAAAGCATCACACCCTACAGGCCTACTGTTACTATCACAGCAGGCCATTTAATAATCACGAGCAACAAGGAAGTGGCAGTGTTTCTACATTTCAGCTAATTCGCCGGGATTTATGTTACCTTTCCTTTATCTCCTTTCTTATAATGGCAGTAGCATCAGTAAATTCTTCATTATCCTTTCACATTTCAAAACTTAAAAAGAAGTATGTGATGATCTCTGACAAAATGGGAAAGAAATATTTTCGTTGTTTAACATACAGCTTTTGTTCAAATTATGTTTTTTGGGATTAACTTTGGTAAAAAATAAACATAAATTTGGCCGACTCACTTATTAACAAAAATGTCACACAACCACGGTAAATTACAGTGATCTCCATACTAAACCTAGTAGGATTTTTTTGTACTATATTACCAGCACATGACCTTTCCCAAGTACATGTAAAACATCTTTGAGGTAAACGATACAAAAAGAAGCATCAGACCATGTGATGGCCGGCCATCGCAAACGACATCAACCTGCCCATAGCTGCAAGCTGCTGCACAAAAAACAAAGTGCATGGTGGGCGGGGAGTGGGCCGTCCATGGGCGGGGAGTGGGCCGTCCATGGGCGGGGAGTGGGCCGTCCATGGGCGGGGAGTGGGCCGTCCATGGGCAGGGAGTGGGCCGTCCATGGGCAGGGAGTGGGCTGTCCATGGGCGGGGACTTGCCACCAGGGGAGTGTCACTGAGGCTCCACCTCCTTCATGGAGGCTAATGCTGAATGGATGCGAACATGCAGCCTGCTCTCAAAGTCATATCCCGCATAACACTCCTGTGGAGGACACACAGATACAATTGAGTCAATTAAAAAAGAATTATATATTTTTTGCACAATTTGGAGATGCCTGATCATCCCTTATCAAACAACTATTAAGCAGTAAGATTTTCAAAATCCATTGATGTACAATAACAGACTCAAATTAATGTAGGAGCATCAGGTATTACTGCACTATGGCTTGTAACCAAACTGAATAGAGTCCCAGGAGGGACTGTAATGTCGTAAATATGGACAAAGAATTCAACTTCAATGTCAACATTAAGATGTAATAATGAGTAAATTCATCAACTGTTTTGGATTCAGGTCAGCTCGTCAACCTGAGGAACGATGATGATCACCACGACTATCTGTCCAATGCCAACAGCTGACACTTACCTTGGCCTGCAGTAGTAGTGATCTTCCCCTCCCCATAGACTGTCGGAAACCAAAGCGTAGGAATGAAATTAATACAGCCTCATCACAGCAAATCGCAGAGACAAGTCAACAACACATAAAAATCTGACCAAATACCTTCACCCAGTAGCTACAGGAAAATTATTGCAACACAACCCACCCCCTCACCTCTGGGTTCTCCAGCAGGATGCATCCCAGCTCATAGCAGGAGTACGGCTGCATGTATGAGATGCTCTGCTGGCCCAGATCATCGTTAGCTGACAGCTGAAACGACTGGTAAGCAGGGATTGCATCAGAGATTCACAGCTAACAGACTTTGTTACTGTCATAGCTGCAGTTAGACCCCAAGAAGGCTTTTATATGGGATTAATGTATGCAAGTGTCAGAACAGCGCACACGGATCTCAGAGTGCCTACATAGAGTCTGATCTGATAATGACGGGCTCTTCAGCCTCACGTTGGCGCTTAGATGCTAACACTTAGTGTCTGACTACTGACATGCTAACGGAGTCTTTTCTTACTGCCCGAATAGAAAGACGGAGTTAAACTCTTTCCGTTTGAGCCAGAACAGCATCATTAAAGTTCCCTATTGTCCCAATGCAAAATCACAACTGGCTGTTCTTGCATCCAAGCAGATATCAGCCAAGATTTCCTTTGTGTCTCATTGCCAAAATGTCATATACTAGATGCTTTCAATGCAAATGCAAACATCTTTCTGATGCCAGCATTCTGCAGAGATCTCTCTCCTAAATGAGACGCCCATGTGTCAGAGCTATGCGGCACGCACATGTTTTTTTTTATTATAATAAATACCTGAATTGCATCCTTTGTGTTTCCTAGGCATTTGTGGATGGCGCCAAGAAGCAGGTGCTTCAGACTGGCGTGTGAAGCATCATCCACCTCCTGCAAGACTGAAAAAGCAAAAATATTTGGCTGGAGATAAAGCTTTTGAATGAGTAAAATGGACTGTACTGAAGTCTTTCCAAAAGCATACAATTTCCCCAGGAATTAAAGCCTTAATTCTTTTAACAGCCTTTTATACAATTATAACTTATAAATGGTTTGGATTATAGTGGGGATTATGGTGGCTTCTGCAGGAACTTGAATGATACATGAATGCCAGGTGCTGTGACCTAATAATCCACTAATTAAACCCAGTAATTAAAGGCTGAGGAACAATGAACATTATCACAATGGCTCCCTGACAGGCCATGGTTGGAAAGCCCCGCATAATACAGTGTTACACGGATTCACCTTGTTTTTTGGTTTTTAACAATGCTACCTTTGTTTTGCAAAAATCCACCAGGCTATACGGAAAATACATCCACCATTCTAAACCGATTAGTTAAGGAGGAGTAATCCCTTGAGTTTTCAACCCCTAGTATTGTGATAAAGCTCATGCTTGTCGTGGTGGGGGAGGGCAAGTGCCCCCTCTTACATCTGTATTTCCCATATGGCGAATCATTCAGGCAGACCTTGGCTCATAAGCTGCAGCTTTGACGAACAGCAGTTCGGAAGAGCTTTCCACAGGTAGAGGACCTCGATGACTCCCATAATGCACAGCTCCTTAGTAGGGGATGACTTCTTTAGCCTTTCAGCCTGTAGAGAAAAAAAAATACCTGATATGCCAGTTATAGTGCAAGAAACACTCATAAGCTGCAATCTGGCTAAAGTCTGCCATCAAGTGGCCAACACAGACATTCTGGTTAGTCATTTAGAAGAATAGGAGGAGTTTTGATGGAAGTTTAGAGAATATTTGTTGCACCAACCTCTAGGAGGAATAACAACACCATTTACAGGATTGTGATAACCATCATGGTGCCAAAGCAGGGAGTTATGGAATGCAGACAATCTCCGAAGGGGAGGTGGGGTGGGAGGGGGGAAAAAATCACAGCCACAATGTAGCCACCATGCGTCAACAGGCTAACAGTACAAACACCTCCATGACTCACCCTCTTAACAGAGAACTGCTCGATTTGATTATTCTTCCTTTTAAAAAGCTTCTGGACGTCGTTACAGACATTCACAGCCCCCTCCACGTCACCAGCAGCACCCTGACAAACTGCAAGAAATGTGAGAAAATGGAGATTTTAAGTTGCCAATGCCAATTTTAATAAACTGCGATTAGGTTCCTGAAGCCCTGACCATCATGCACCAACCTCCGGTCAAGTAGGCATAGTAACACTGGGACCACCTTGACTCATTCTTCAGCCGCTCGAAGGACTTGAAGGCGTCAAAGTAGTTCATCTCGATCATACTGCACCAGCCTGTAGCCACAAGGGGGCACTATGTTACCCACGGACACCCATGCACGGTTACCATGGCTACATCAGTTTCTGATTATAACACAGGCCGAAACTGACAGCTGCATTTTCTTTTAACAGTACACTGGACAGATAAATCGTATGGATAAATCGTCAATATTGGACCACATACCGATTTCGTAGAGACACACGTGCTGAATTTCCCTTTGATCCGTCGCAAGTTCCAACGCATCATGGAAAGACGTCAAGGCACTATTAATTTGGCACTGAAGAATGGTGGGAGAACAACACCGGCATTACGAGACGCTTCACTGCCCCCTCCGACCACACAAAACCAGACTGATTGCTCTGCAGGCCTAAAACACACTCGGCAGGGTCAAACCCCCCCGCGGCCCACAGACTCACCTCCAGCCGCTGCACGCGGCCCCTGAAGAACGTGAAAAGCGAGGAGTTGGGGTAAATGGCCGCCTTCCTCTGTAGGATGGCCTGGGCTTCCACCAGGCCCACCTGTGTGTCCGTGCCATCGGGGGCGAAGAACGGCTGCACCACCGTGTGGTACCAGAGCAGAGACAAGCTGAAGGTGTGGGGGGGAGGGGGGGGACGACATCGACATGGAAAGTCTAAAGCAACTGCCTTTAAGGGCCTCGCTCAGGTGCCCAATGATGACATCGCTTTACGTCAAAGAACGACCTTCCGATCACAGGCACAGCATCTTAATATGCTGAGCCACACAGTGCTGCTTTGCACCTGATACAGACAGAGCACACGTACTCACGTAGCGAGCGGCGCCTTCATGTCCTTACTCTCACTGGCAAATGTGAGCGAGGCGAGCCCCTGCGCCCGGTCGCCGGGAAACCCCAGCAGGTTGACGATTTTCAGGAGGTGCGGTGGCACCATGGAGATGCAGAGGTGGAAGAGGCCATAGCCAAAGCTGACGGAGCCCTTGAGGCGGCCCAGGGTCTCGGCCGTCACCACCTCCCTCCCAGGCTGCGCCACTGCGTTGTCGTTCGCCCGATCTGCAGGCTGCGCCACCGACGGCAAGGAGGAAGAGGAGGAAGAAGCTCGCCGCTGGTGGGCGTCCTGCAGCAGGCCGATGTCACTGTAGCACTTGTTGTACATCTTCCAGGCCTTGCGGAGGATCCAGCCCCCCTTAATGTACGCTGGGGACGTTTTTAGGGTTGGGGGTGGGCGGTGGGGGAACAGAGAGCCACAATTTACCCAACTGGGGTCAAGTCAATTCAATCTCCTTCAAGGCTCAAGGGGAAGTGACCATAATGAGCATTTATTTTATTTGTACGTAATTTTATCTAAAATATAATAGGATTTTTTAAGGTAGGGGGCATAAGAGGTGCCATAACATATATAGAGGGGCCAACCTTTCCATTAGAGAGAGAGAGCGAGAGAGAGAGAGAGAGAGAGAGCGAGAGAGAGAGTGAGAGAGAGAAGCTACGTACCTGACAGCTCCTGCTTAACGAAGGAGAGCACAGCCAGATACACCTGGCAGTCCGCCACGATGATCTGCCGCTGCAGCCGGTCCACCACCACAGCCCCTGACCTCTGGAAGTCCATCTGGGGTGGGGAAGCAGAGCATTCTGGGTAATGGCATCAAGCCCGAAGTGGCCTGTGAGTTTCACCCTGCATGGCAGTTGAGCGCCTTCACAACAAGCCGGTACAAGCTATTATTTTGATATTGGGTGGGTGTGTGGGGGGGGGGGGTATTCCCATCACATTCATTGGACAGTGACATCAGTGGCGTTGGGTGGGTGTGGGGGGGTATTCCCTCACGCTCTTTCTGATCCGGTTCTTGATGGTCTCGATGACTCCAGAACCGTCGCTCTCACACAGTTTCTCCGTGGCCTTGAGGTCCTCGCAGGCCATCTGCATCTTCTCGTCCTCAAAGGTCATCATGGCGTTCTGCAGGTGAATGGGGGGGGGGGGGGGGGGGAGCAGTGCCCCAGTAGCCATTAAAGTCGGATGCACATCGCAGATACCAGATCACGATGGGTGGCAGTCTGGGCACGCCTGGCCTGCCCTGCAATTTTTTTTACCTTTCTGCAGCTTGTCTGTACATATTCAATCTCTTTTCATAAACGATAACACCATAGAATGTTCCAGAAAGCAGGCTGCTAGGAAATTCTGTAAGTTTGTCGTGCACTAGTCCCCGAGTGTCAAGGGTGAATACAGGGGCAGGTTCACACTGGCCCCAGCTGAAAGCTGACTGGCCCCTGGGGGGGCCCCTCACCAGTCACTCACCAATACAAAACACATACATTGGCTAAAGGTAAGGTGGGGGGGGGGGGCACATACCGCAGAAGCTTTTCACAATCTCTGATTTGTGCACCTCTATATCGGACTAATTATACAGCTTGTATTTATTCATTATTAACAAATGCATTTAGGCTGACGCCCACGCAGCAGATGGCGGCCTATAATTCATTATTTTAACCAGACACGTCCTTATTTCCGGGGGCATCCAGGGTGGAAACGACTACTCACCAGGAAGCTGACGAAGCTGGCCCCGAAGCTCATCAGGGGGCTGTAGGTCCTGAAGAGACGGGGGGGGGGGGGGGGTGACAGAGACATTAGAGGTGCCGCTCAAATGTCAGAACGGGTCTCAACTACGTTCTCTCCATGTGGAATTCACTGGAATAGCCTGGGGGAGCACAGAGGAAGGAGTGCCTTCTCAGCACTGTCTGAAGTTGTGGGCTCAGCTCCAGGTGGCAGCTGTCCCCTGCAGAGAAACCCTGTGACCATCGAGCTGAACACCCCGGGACAATGAGCTGCGTACCCGAGAGGGGATCACGCATCCCAATCCTAAGGCGGAGAAGATGCCCAATGACATCCATCTCACCTCAGCTGGTGCCAAACCTGCTCTCAGTTACACTTTATCTTGTTGACTTTTCTACTCAGGAACACAAAGGTTCAATCCCAGAATGCAGCGAGAGCAGGGTGTGGACTGTATGGAGTTCAGTGTCAATGGTTTACTCCAGCGTTTCTCAACCCAGTCCTTGGATACCCACAGAGCCCACATTTTGGCTCCCTCCCAGCTTCCAGCCAATCAAGAATAGAAAAGATCTAGTACAGATGTGCTGGAAGGACCGAGGGAGCAAAAAAATATGGATTCCCACAGACTGGGTTAAGAAATACTGGTTTATATGAACCGCATGTCTCTGAACAGCAGTGGGCAGATGGTCGGCCCAGCAGAACCCAAAACACATGGGCATAATGTGCAGATACTCATACACGGGGCCAAAACCGGATTCAGAACCATAGCAATCGTACATGTGAGGTTACTGTGGCACATTGGGGCACGACCTCACCTAGAATGGGAAACTCATCAGGATTATGACAATACAAAAAAAGCCACACACTTAGTCACCAAAACGGGGAATGGATTGGGGCGGGGGGGGGGGGGGGGGGCACGTTCCACACAAACCCCAGTCTGATCAGGAAAGGCACAATTACCCATAAGACCCTTTCAGCTCAGTAAATAACAGTTTCTTCATTTGCCAGAATCACACACACAACATAACAGGGGGCCATCACCCCCCACTAAGCTTCCATCTTTACTCGCAGTTAGTATTGCAGTGACATTTTAGATGGTTGATTATCGCCACCACACTTCCTGTCTCACAGTCCCCTGAGACAGCCCGATACCCTGGCACGTCAATGCTCTGCCAAAGGCTTAGCAAACTAAATTAAAACATAATAAAACAAATTCAAAAATAAACACAGGGAGGTAGGCGGGGCTGTCCTGCTGCAGTGCTGATTGGCTGCCCACTGGTGCCCAGGTGCAGCTGCCCCTCCGCACTCACACACCCCATCTCGATGAGCCAAACACATGTAACCACTAATCACCATCTTGTAAACATCTGCCTGCACACACACAAACCATACCACCAATCAGCAGAGTTATGGTGTGTTCCATTTGCCCTCGGAACTCGGATTCCGAATTTTGAAGCCAGAAGTGACGACATGCGCGCTCCTGTTTCTCAGAGATCCGAGAAATATCTCGCGGTACAGAGGATCCCTAGTTCAGAATCCAAAATGGCTGTGCCCTTTATCAACAGAAGTGAAAGTTGTAGTGTTATACTGTTTAAGTTCTACTTCTCATTTGTGGCTCATTAAATCACTCACGCACCACTCTATCCGTCCAACTTATCAGTGGAAGTGTTGCTACGGAGTTTTATATATGCAAGCACTGCGCGTAATGTGTTATCAACTGATATTGCTAACAATGGCTCAATTAACCGGGCTAGAATTGGATTTCATAATTAGTCGGATTATTTGTTGGATTTAAGGTAGTTCGGGCTAATTGTAAGTGATCATTAAATCAGACAAGCAGTCCGGCTAAGCAAAAAATCTTGATTTTTGTTATGGGTCCATTGTATTGCTACTTCTGTGGCAAATGGAACGCATCCAACTCGGTTTTTAGCAGATGTGACAATCTCGGCAACCGAAACTCAGATCCGAAGGCAAAAGGAACGCACCACTAGTCAGGTGGTGTCCAATCATGTTTATGTTCAGGTCCCCACCCACTTTGCAAGCCACAACACCTTCAATGAAAGACACACTGAATCATCCAGTAGGGCAAAGACTCCACAGTAGAAGAAAAAATCCACAGCTCTGCTTATAAAATATGGACGAAGAAATAAAACACCCTTGTCACTTCAAAACACTGCGCAGAAATGCGGGAAAACATCCGGCTCTCACCCGAGGCCGCGTCAGCCGGCCCAGGCCGACCCGCCCAAGAGGTGGCCGACTTGCCAGAGTCGTCACTCACACTTCCGAAGACAGTAAAAACGCATTAGTGTTAACAGGCTGTGACAGAAGTATATAAATCAAAGAGCCACACACAGCACTCCTGCAATTCTGTACATTCACAGTGGTGTCCTGCCTTGTTTACTGGCATAACTAAAGTTTCGTATTTTTTAAAGAGATACAAAACACACAAAAAAACGCCACAATATGTCCAGAATTCAGTCTTAAACGATGGTCCAGACCCATCGGTGTAACCATAACAGACTTCTCTCCGTAACCGACTCGCTCGATGGTAGTCATCTTCCAGGAGTAACGTCAAGTACTTTGTTTCCATTAGGAGTGTAACAGTACGCGCATTTGGACCAGAGTTGCACAGTTCTAACATGAAGCTGAAAGCTGCTAATGTAAATACAGAACAGATCAGGTGCAGTTAATTTTCTGAATGTGCCCCTTAATGGACATATTTTATTCACTTGATAAAAGTAAATAAAAATAAACATTCTAAGTTATAAGTAGTATTAACAGAGACTTAGGAAAAGCACACAGTCATACTTTTTTTCAGTAAACCATTGTTTAATGAAAAAAAAAAGAAGCAATTTATGTTTTACCTACCCTGATCCGGAAACGTACCAAACCATGACTTCAAATCCAAGGTAGATAGCGGACTGTGATGTTCTGTACATTCACAGTGGTGTGCTGCCTTGTTTACTGGCATAACTAAAGTTTCATATTTTTTAAAGAGATACAAAACACACAAAAAGTGCCACAATATGTCCAGAATTCAGTCTTAATAAAAGACTGCAAATCCAAGGTAGATACCGGACTGTAATTTTTGTGTACCATTTCTCCCCTAGTGTCCAGCCTCCTGTTGAGGAGGTGCAAAGACTCGCCATCACAACCAAGACATTTCGGGCACTGCCCTGCACCTTAGCATCTCCTGACACGGAGTGGGGGGGGTTCATGAATATCAGACAGCAACATAAGTGGGTGATAAGGGTCCCCATCTGAGCAGTTACCCAGCTGCCCCGTCCAATTACTCCTCTCTAACTAGAATAAAGCATTCCACAGCAGGTTCATACCAGGGGCCAAGAGTGCACATAGACATTAGACAGAGATTTCACATGAAAGCAGTGAACACCAACTCCATCCAAAAACAAGCAGCGGTCAGGCGAAGTGTGGCCCAGCAAGTAATCAATCAGAAGAATGCCGACTCAAATCCAGTGATTTGACCCTTTGGCCCCTAAGCAGGACCCCTAAGCAGGGTCCCTAATCCCCAATTGCTTCAGGGATTGGCTAACCCTATTTTCTCATTTTCTTGCTGCCTTGGGTAAAAGCATCTGCTAAATGATTTATTATTGAACTACAAAACAGCTCATCGTAAACAATGTGGGGGTGAAGACGTTTGATTTTGTGGGGGATAGATGCTAGATGTCAGCTTAGGGCTTAGTGATAGCTTCTGGCATGGCAGAACCCCGGAGCTGGAGTCCTTGAACCGTCCGACAGTGGGGGGATGGGAGGGGCAGAGGCAGGCTGGCGTGTCAGAAACGTGCCTGCAAGAGGCTCGTGTTCGTGGCCAACCTGGCGGTTCACACAGACCGCAGCAGAGGCACCGTAGCGGCAGAAACTAGAGAGACATGGAGCAGAGATAAAACACCGAAACCGAAACAAGGCTAGACGAACCCTGCATCATGCATGTCTTCGTGCGAGGAATCTGCAACAATGCAGCCGACATTCCAACCATGACTAAAAAGAATTACAGAAAACCTGATCAAGGTGTGTGTGTGTGTGTGTGTGTGTGTGTGTTGGGCTGGGCCACGAAATGTGGGGCAAGTATTGTGAGATGGATACAGCAGACCAGGCATACATAGGATACTACCGATGCTGCGGATTAGATATTTTAAGCCTCCCCCCCACAAAAACCTAGGAGCAGGAGGCTTCCCATCCTGGCTCAGATGCCGTCAAAACAAGGCAGCAGAGGGGAAGCCCCATCCAATCCACCCAACACCCACCTACACCAGCTACTGAAGACAGGACCGCACAGCCTCTGGGTGCTAAACAAGGTAGCAACTGGATTAGGGCAGCGAGCCTCAACATAAATTATAAAACAAAATAAGCAATCCATGTACAACATGGATAAAGGAAAAAGGACGCAAACATTAGGTATATAACTAAGGTGAGTGTATATGTGTATTTGATTGATTATACCCCATCCCTCGGGGGAGTGAGCGTGACTCCGCCTGGGTTCGGCTCTGCTCGTGGTCACATGGGAAGTGTCTTGCACGCGCGGGGCGCCGGCCAGCGTAGACGGCGTCTCGGCTCGCGCTCCGCTGCGTGCAGAGCTCCAGATGCACGCTGGGAAGCCCCCCTGACAAGCCCGAAAGCGCACGGTGACTTCCAGATGCTCACCGGTAACGGGGAACACCCCGCTGAGAACCTAGCTGTCACTGACGTATAGGCAACCTCCCTCCGTTCCTGGAACCCATTACAAGGACTCCTAAAATAGCTACCTGTCTTCAGAGACGTTCGATTCAGAGCCTGAAGGCCGTTTCAATGAACAGGGATTAAAGCACACTGTCAAATCTATATTTAAAGCATACGCACACACGGGAGAAGTAGCACACTTTGAGGAATGCCCGCTAACGTAATGTAAGGTAACTGTACTTCCCTCCGGATTTCCTGTCACACAGCCATCATGGCTTGATCTATACAGTGAGACAGATTCCCCGGCCGTGCCCGACTCCGGAGATCAGAGCTGCCGGGCGGCGTGTCGGTACCGGCTGCCTGCACACATGCTGCAACAACAGCCCATGAAGTCTGCTCACGTTTGCACGAACACCACCCCCTTTAAACAAACACGTGTGCGGGCAGCGACACAAGAAGCACCTCGCCACGATTAAACAGACCTAACTCTGAAAGTCCACTAGTGTCTTCCGGCTAGTAAAAACGAAAAGGGAAAAGGTGAAAGAGGCGTATTTTACGGTCCAGCTTTAACGCTGTGTGTATGTATCTCAGTCAACATACCATCATCAAACACAGCAAATGTAAATAAGCAGGTAGAGATCAAACACCACAAACACACAAAATAAACCAGAGAAATGAAGCCCATATATTGCGTATAATGAAACCCGGGCTGTGCTCCTCACCTGTATTTCTTGAAGAGCTCGTCGCTCTCCTTGAAGCCGTTGTTCAGAAGCATGTTTATGCCCTGAAGAGCCAGTTCGGCATCATCTATTTGCTCCGCTTTCCCATCGACCTGCTGCTCGGGACCGGCCATAGCTACAATTTCTATCGGGCTGTTTCCCTTTTTTCTCAAACAGCAAAATAAAATGTTTTAAAAAAATCGCTCCGGGCACCTACTTCCCCTAAATGGAAAGGAGCAGGAAGGCGGCTGCACTGAGCTGACCGCGGCGCAGCGCCGCACACCGGGAGGGCAGAGGGGGGAGCGTCCTCTCTCTCACCGCGGGCAGACACACCGGTCCGGCTTAGCGACCTTCCCGGCTCACAGAGACTGCCGAGAGCCTTTATTTCGCCTCAATTTTGGCTGTTTAGGGAAAGCGGCATTATTCACCGTTCGCTTCCGAAAGCGCCACAGTACCCGCAGCTTGTTTGCGTCGTTTACTTTCCATATTATTAAAGCTAATTTAAAGTCGTTGTTTTCTCTCCGCCCGCCAGTCAGCATGCAGTTTTCTGCTGGGCTGTGGAATCGGTGCTTAGGTTCCGTCCCGGTCCGGTTTAATTTTCATTTTCGTTCCCCGCCACTGGGTTTACGGCGCAGCTCCCCACTTCCTCCACGTCCCGTGCCGGGCAGCAGCAACCTTTGACCCGCCACGGACGTGCGCGCTGCCCGTTATGCCCACCCCTACCCCGACAGGCTCGGCTGGCTAGCAACAGCAAACGCATTAAACATATTTTTGTTCTCGACATTATGTATTTTGAAAATTTCACCTTTTTGTTTTAATTTACTATTAAAGAAAAAAGCAAAACCCACATCGTTAAATATCTGGTATATGTGGACAGGTATTGTGTACATAGACCTGTAAAGTTACATATATTTTTTCATGGTCAGATTTTTAGATAAACACAGGCTTTGCCCAGCAGCGTTCAAAGCCCAGTCCTTCTCTGTTAATTGTTTCATTTTATCTTAAAATAGCATCTCATTACAATGTGAAATTAGCAAAGTGGACCACGTAATGCTGGGTAATTACACTGTACCCTCCACCATTGGCTGCGCAGTAGAACAGCAGTGATTCATAATAACCCCCTGCCCCCCACCGCCACCACCCCAAGCATCCAACATGTGTCCGATTACTGTCCCTGTACAGCTGGCCAACAAACATTAAAATGGATAATTACAAAGGAGATAAATAAGGATTCTGCTTACAGTGGGAGGCCCACTGGCTATCACTGTTGCCTCATACCTCCAGGATTGGGGGTGTTAACCCCACCTCCTGCTTATTATGTATGTGTGAACCCTACAATGAAATGGCATCCCATTCAGTGTGTACCCCTGCATTGCTCCCTCTGCTTTCTATGATTGGCTCTTTGACCCCATGTGACCCTGTACTCTGGATTAGCTATTAGAAGAAGGGTGGCTTGACACAGTAATGTATTGGTCATTTTGTACTTTTTTTTTTTACTGTTGCACCCCTGTTGTCCACATCATAAATTGATAAGTTACACATTGTCACTGAACAACAGGAGCAATTGATCTAATTAGTATTTAGTCCACTAGAAGGAACTAGTATTTTCACCTTCATTCGTTCAGTAGAACTTCGTGAACTGGAATATCCCCATGATCCTTCTCCTAAACCCAGATTGTGTGTAATTCACCTCAGCGGATGAGACAGAAACAGCTAGTCTTACGTTACACATCAGCGAACTTCATTTTTACCTTTATTTAGTTGAATATATACTCTGCTCTTAAACCTACAACCTTCTGGCCATAAACATTGATTCCTAACCATCACCACCACCACCTCCAAAGCATTGAAAATGACAATCGGCAATATATGAAACTCATCATAAACCCGTTGAAACCAAAGACTGTTTTCAGTTTAACAGTGTAGCTTTTGCGGTGATATCATTTAAACTATTCTTATTCTTATGCATATTCTATTTCTCATAATAACTGGGTTTGCTTTAGCCTACTTTTAATTTAACGTGGTACCTGTGGATTTTGTGTTAAATAAATTAAGTAAATCAGCAGCTTTGAAATTAAATATTTAAAAGCTGCATCCCTCATTTGAGATTAAATGAGGTAAAACGCAATTTAAGAGCATAATTACATAATCTGTATCCTAAATGGAATCTGCCTGATCTCTCAATTAAATGCACATTTTAGATATGGAATTTACTGAGTAGCCCTTGTTGCTTACTGTTACGTATAAGCATTTAATATTCGAGTGATGTATATTTACCATCTATGCAGCGATATTTGTGTAATAACACCGTCATGCAGCTAGGTGTCAGCACCTCCTAGGTAATAACTTTTACACAGAAGAGACCGATATGCAAAAAAAGAAAACGATTCTTTTATACGAGCGCGTCAGCGGGCCCCGACTTTCATGAGACGATTAATGTGTGTTCTGTTACCTTTGATTCCCTCTGTACTGCATGGACTATGGTGGGATATGTTAAATCCTGACTCTGATAATACAGTGATGGAGTTAGACTTTGCATCGATGTAGGTTTTCCACTTAAAGATGAGTGACTACTGCTCTGATGTATCCATTCTATTTTTATTTATGTATGAATGTATATATATATATATATGATGGCATCTGGTTTTTGCTAATATTGTGTTTGTTATTGTTCCTCTATAATATAATACAAAATATTGTGGGAAGAAAAACATGTGCAAGTAATTTCATCCTATGTTTGTTCGTAAGGATTAGCAGCCAGTGTTGCAGAGGTCTTTTGTGGTGCTGCCACTGAGTTGAGGTTGGAAGGTCCTTCAGTGGCCAATAGACAGCATGGCGACTGGAAATTCCCATGACTGATGGACAGCGGGGCCATTTGCAGCCCTGTTGCCCCTCCAGGGCCACTCTGACCGTGCCATCCTTGGTAAAAGACACTTGTGAAGTTGATCCCCCTGACGGCTGTTTATGTTTTAGCTGCTCTGACGACTTTCAGCTTATCATTATCCAGGTCTCAGTTATACATTGTGTTTAAAGGTAACTGCTACAGTCAGCAGGTCTGGGATATGGACTGTTAGTCTGAAGATTGTTGTACTTAGTAATTTGCAGAAACCCAGAGAGACCAAGTCTGTTGTTACTGCAGGGCCTGTACTGACCTGGCAGAAGGACTGTCTCGGTACTCTGCGAATCTGTGCTGATTCAGTGTTTCTTCTGGCTGGAAGTGCCCCCCAAAGGAGAAGCTTTAAAATGCCATATTGACTTGTCTTGGCTGGTATTACTATTTATCTTTTTGAAGAAAGGTGCTGAGCAAGAGTAGCTTTTGTATGGTGATTGTACGTTCAGCCGTTTTTTTTCGGGGGGTGGGGTGCTGTATATGTCGAGGGACCTGCATCCACCCATCCACCTGTCCTATTTAGGGTCATGGGGGGTCTGGTGCCTATCTTAGAGGCTACAGGTGCAAGGCAGGGATCCTGAAACAGTAATCTGCATCCCATATCTCAGGCTTCTCCAGAGAAGGGTGAGGCCACATTGGCAATGCAACTGCAATGTGTCACATCATGCTTACTTGGCTAGCAGAGGGATGCATTCAACTCACACCACAGGTCTGAATGCTAGCAGGAAAGTGGTTTACCCAGAGGAAACCCTCACAAACACAGCGTGGACACCAGCACTCACACAGAGAACTCAAACCCACTGGACCTCCGTATGTACCTAAGTCTGCTCAATCTTTAAAAAAAAAAAACTTCTGCCTGAGGTCAATCTTCTGCAAGGAAAGCATTGTCATAGCAACCACAGCCGACCAACCAAAGTGTCACGTTTATTTAGAGCAGTATTTTACACAGGCAGCAGTGAGGAACATTTATGACCACAAACGCACTGTTGAACCTGGTCACATACTTGCCTGGTAACCCAATCTAACACCACAGAAACAGACATCCCTGAGGAGGAGGAGAAGGAGAAACAAGTGAGGAGCGAACGCACGGGGGCGTTATGAAGCACGACATCCAGCATGGTCATACGACGGGGTACAGCGCATAGCTGGAGATGCCACAGGCGTTTTCTCTCCTCCTGGACATCCGCATGTAGCCACCCTCACCCCAGCCAGCTCCCCAACTGGAGAGATAAGGAGAGATAAATAAGTCACATCGGCCTCTGCAATCACTGGGACATTTCCTTTGAGAAGTGGACTCCGATTCCTAAAATTCCTCGCCAGAGGATTCTGATCTTGCTAAGAAATTCCTCCAGCTAAACAGACACTAAAGTAGGATCTAGAAATGAAGCCTGTGAAGTAACCCCCCCAGCCCCCACCCCAGTGGTAGTTCTGTGGTGTTGGGCAGTGCTTCAAAATGGCTGACCTGTTTTTGATGATCCAATAGTCATTTTTCCCTTCTCTACCGTAGCCCACAAGTAGTACGGCATGATTCAGGTTCTCAGGTCTGCAATCCGGCTCGTTGTAGATTCCTGGAAACATACACTTTAATATTAAATATGTATTGGTCCAAATGCACAGTGGAGAATTTGTAGAAGGCAAAGGGGGTCTTGCTAGGCTAATGGCTAGGCTACGATTAGGCTACTGTCCCACCATTCATCATAGCCAATGGAAGAGCTCACCAGAGCTGTAGAACAGGAAGCTGGGGTGGTCTGCATCCACGGCAACCGTGATGGGACCAATGGCGACCAAGGCATTGGCCAAGGCCTCGTCGTCACCAGCAGGAATGAACCGATAGTCCCTGATCCGGGCGACAATCATGTTGCTATCATAGTAGCAATGCTGGTTATCCTGATAAACATGGAGAAAAAAATATTGAAAATGTGCACTGATTCTAATTTGAAGCTTTGTTTATTAGATAAGCCTTTCCCAAAGCACTGTGCAGCTGAACATTTTAGATAGAGCTAAGCATTAGAATTCTGTTACAGATGGATGCTTTTAAAATCATTTTAGTGATTTAAAAAATGCTATAAAACAAGTCTAAGGATAATCCCTTAAAGCAGCCTGTACTTGATTCCCTTAAAGACGCAGTGCATACCACCGCAGAGTAGGGGTAAGAGTTCTCTGGCGGAAGCCCGTTGTTCACCACGTAGTCGTAAGCATTGGCCATCCAGGCCCCGCTGCAGCCATACGTGCCATAGGACCGCGAGCAGTCCATCAGGTGCTGCTCGCTTAGGGACACCAGGCGTCCTGTCGTCTTATACATTTGTCCCTCAATGGCTCCTGTAGTGCTGAAGGCCCAGCATGAGCCACAGAAGCCCTGAGAGGTGTAGAGCACATGACCTTTAAGCTCCTATGGGGGTCCTCAGTCAATGCTTCCAGAAATGTCATTGTGATTAAAGGAATTAGCGCGTTGCTAATTTGTGGCAACTATGGCGTGTCATATGAGTAGGTACAGAGGAAATGCGTCAACTCGAGTGACCCCAGCTTAGGGCACCTTACCTGATCCTTCACAGGCGTGACATAGCCTAAGGTCCGGTAGTCGATGTCATTGAACTTCTTCTTCTTAGCAGCGGCTCGGAGCTTTGCGGCCGACACGGTCTTGCCTGGCTTCACCGTCCACCTGTCTACCATGGTCCCCTGCAGCTGTCTGTATTCCTGCTGGGTCTGAACGTCACGGTTGGGGTCAGTTAAGAAACAGCGGTGCTCTGCATTGTGATTTAACAAAGAGTGTGACTCACCAGCGCCCCGTACTTATTCATGGCCATCAGGAAAGAGCTGGATCCCCTGTAGAAGTTCTCATTGTTGACCTTGATCATCTCCAAGTTCTCCTCCCAGATGTATTTTCTCTGTTCCTCATTGCTCTAAACATAAAATGTTAATTATTTATAATATTTATCATATAGTCCAAGGACAATAAAAAATGTTTCACACATATAATGTCACATACACAGTTAGTTACACCTTGAACAGTGTGTAGTGGAAGGGGAATTATAATTAACTTAACCTTGATATTTGTGAATTAATTTTGAAATATTTACATAAAGTATATGTTAAATAGTTATCAAAATATATTTATAAACTGCTCTTAAATGAGTGTAAAATGTTATTCACATCTTTATTTGCTTTGCACAAGATGCTAATGCAGATAGTCCCCTCTTGAACTTGAGATGCCAACCTTCATGGTCGACGTCTTTATCTTCTACACTACTCACGAGCTTCAGCCATCATGTCTGACACACTTCACCTTCTCACTGTAGGAGACGCCAAAGTCCCCCTTCCACCTGACCCACAGGGTCTCCATGTCCTCTTCTGAGCAGAGCACGGGCTGGTGGTGGAGCAGAAGTGAGAGCAGCGCAGCCCTCAGGAGAAGCCTCACTAGGCGGAACGCCGTCATTCCCTGTGGAGGGGCTTGTATACCTGTGGGACACCATCATTTTGAGTGGCCCCTGATCTTGCTGTTCTGTGCTGTTTTCCTGAACACACATGGTCTCCCTGCATGACTTACATTTACTCAAAACCCCCCATGAACTTATCGTTTCTTCCTTAACCCTAAAATTTCCTGAGGCATAGCTTCCATTCCATATGCAATGGATGATGTTACTTTTCACCAATGTCACCTGTGTGTCATTAGTGTATCTCGTTATAGCTATCAGGCGACACACTGAAATCATTCAGAAGCCGAATGACAAATTGTGGCAGCCCGTTCGTTGTATTCTCACCTGCCAGAGAGCCAGATATCTTCCTGGGGCGATGTCAGCTTTCAGAAGGCCCTGCTTGCCCACTGATGTCACTCAGCTAGCAGACTGATAATGACACACCCCTCAGCCATCTTTTATTCCCCCAGTCAGTGGGTGTGATTTTCCGTGGCCCCCGTCCAAATCTCACGAGGCCAATCGCCAGCCCAACTGGGAGGCGGAAAACAACAACGAAGAACCAAAAAATAATGATACGGGTTGAGTTACTGTTGCTGTTCAGACATAGAAATGCTCCATTTCTTCCGTAGAAGAGTACAATTTGTGACATAAACTGAAGTAAACAGGTTCCAATCATTTTCCAGGTCCGCAGTTTCCAAGAACAGCTCAGCTTGAGAAACAGAAATACCACAAAGTCCATTCTACTGTAAAATTGTTCTTATCTTCAATGGGAATTTTATGGTTTAATATCCATGTTTAATTAGCAGATGCTTTTATCCAAATCAACATACCATTAAGAATGAAGGATCAGCCAGTCCCTAAAACAACTGGAGGTTAAGAACCCAACAGTGAAATCACTGTGCTGAGCCTGGGATTTGAACAGGCAACCTATCAATCACAGGCTCAGTGTCACATACCACCCTCTTAGACCTATTTTCATAGTGCATTCATCTTAATCTAAAAATCCATTGCATTTTAGCCATTGACAAAAATACTTGTCACCTGATTCATTCAATTCTCACCCAAAGTAAAAGAATGTAAAGACACTTATCAATAAATCCAAACACTGAAGGTATTGGGTGTACAGCACACATATAATATCCATCCAGTGCTATAGACCAATCACTGCTGTACCCATAAAAACCCTTCAGTCTGAACTGATCCATTTATGGACTGTTTTCCATGCAGGTTCCTCAGGGTCTTACAATTTGGTTTGCCATAATGACAGGTAGCAAGAAGCACTGTAATCAGAACTGCAGAAGGACACAGACCTGTCAGGAAAAACACACATCGCATTTCTGTCCTGTCGCAGTCCTGCAGTAGCTTTAGCCCTTCCACACACACTCACCATAATGCAGCTGGATCATTCTGAAAAATGACAGTGTGTGCCGAGATAAGCGCTGCTCTTAGTAAGCAGTGGTAGCACCAGGGATGGGGACACCCAGCTGTTAAGGTCTTACTTGTTATTGTTATTGAATGATGTAATCCCTGGATTCTCAGTGGCTAGCTGTGTTTACTACGGTATATCCGGAAGAATAGTAGACATAAACAAGCTTAGCTACTGCAAGGCCTCTCCAAACGCATATTTCACATACATTTAACCAAATATTACTGCACCATGGATCTATGTTCACTAAATGAAGCTGCTTCTACATTTGAGTTGATTTTATTTAGATTGCATTTTATGACTTGAATAAGACTGGTAATACTGGAGTCCCATTCGAGGTTCCTCCCGTCTTGTTCCCTGTGTGTTCTGGGATAAGATACTGGCTCACTATGAATCTGTAAGGGAGGGATGGACATCAATGGTTTCACTCTCTGTGCTTTCAGCATTGAAGCAATTAATTCGCACATGCTATTCTGTTCTCCATCGTGCACTTGTGCATACAGTACACCAGGGTGTTCTCACACTCAGTATGGAATATTCAGCAAGCCAATGTCCATAGTGCTATCCCATGTGTGCAGTTACACAGCTAACGACATTGTACGCTACATGCCAGCGTTTTAGCAGGAGCTGCGGGCTCTGGGTTGGAAACTGAGGTCTCTTTGCTGAAACAGCTGGGAATTATGGGTATGACTGTACTCTGCGAACCTGATAATGCTCTACTGATACAGAACTGTACAGACAGGAAATGTCTTTCAGTTCTGATCCATTACCGATTGGATATACCTATGCACATCACGGCGTACTGGCTGTGTGTGATTATGAGAAAAGTGATCTAACATTCATCCTGTACCTGGAATAACAACTTGGATATTACTGCGAACTACACATTATAGGTCCCCAGCGCTGATCCGACGCTTTACGTTAGGGAGCAAACACTCATTATACGTAAGTGCTGACGCTTTGCTTTCCATTAGGCACAAACGTACACGGACTCGCGCATCATGTAGAGAAGAGAGCAGTAACTAAACTCTACCCAGTTTTATATTATCATATAAATTATGATGTTATGAATTCCTTTTATTCGGTTTGACACATTCAGGTAAAAAGAACGGGCATTTAATAAACCTGAATTCCTGCAAGCACATCGTGTTAAATATAATGTAAATGATTCTTATGCAACTAATGTTAAAGCCCTTTAAATTTTACTTTTTTATTTTTTTCTATGCTGTTTTATCTGGCATTTCCGCCAGCAATAACAATAAGACAATAATAAAACGGCTATTCCACCGTAAAAGAACATCAATAAAACTGTAACAGGGCGATAATAAAACGGTAATAAGATGGTAATATGATTGCGTCACTAGAGCAGGCGCGGGGACCGTGCACGCGCCGGAACGCCGTGAGCTCGAGACTACGACGCGCGTGTCAGCGCTTGCTGCTGCAGCACTGCAGTGGCTTCTGGTTGCATGGCTCCGCGTCCCCTTCTCAGTCCGGACAGTAGCGCCGGCTTCACGGCTGTAAACTGAGATGAGTCACGAATGAGACCTGCAAGATGTCTTTCAAGGTAAACGCCACTTTCGGTTTACATTCTTTTTCTAATGCCCTCCTAGGTAAGTTTCGAATTATTTGGACGTGACGGCATAACGCATGGATGTTCACATTATCATTATGGTCGCAATCGGTGCTTTAATATTATGCAAAAATGTGTGTACTACAGGGACAGTGCAGGGTGGGGTATTGGTGCGCGGTGCACTCCGGCGGAAGGAAAATATATTGCCTGACCTTCAGTTATGGGATGAAATAATGCGAGAGTCTGGCGTTGATGTACCGCTGATGAGCTAAGAGGCTTCAGAAGAACTGCTCATATAAATTAATCATTTGTAAGCTGAATTTAGCTCGTAACATCTAAAGACGTGAAATCTGGAAGGAATCAGGGAAGCCTGAAGGTTCTGCCAAACGTAGAGGGAGACTAACATAGGGCTGTTAACTCACATACCTGAGAAATACATAGACAGACTTAGTTACATATAATTACAGTACCGAGTGTCTCTGTCAGTTGTACTCAGAGTACTTGTCACAGAACAGAGCTGCCATGACTGAAAGTTGCTTTAATTTGGGTTGTCTGAGATTGTCCCATGATTATATTGCACAGGTCTGTAAGTTAATCTGTAAATTAATCTTAAACGAGTTACTGGTTACTGTTATGTCTTGCAGAAGGAAACCCCACTGGCCAATGCGGTGTTCTGGGCAGCGAGGAAGGGGAACCTGGCATTGCTGCAGCTGCTGCTGAACAGTGGCCGAGTGGACGCCGACTGCAAAGACAGTGTAGGGACGCCGGCCCCGAGAGATACTCCCGAGAGATAAGACAGGGCGCGTGTGAGTGAGCGTGCGTTTGCTTCACAGTGTTCCATCGTGTGTGCACTTGTGCATGCATCCATATGTGTATGCATGTGCATGTCTGCGTGTGTCCGTCTGTGCATATGTGTTTTTGGACGTATGAAATAGGGCACTTTAGTTTTAAGGACGGTATTCAGCGGAAAGCAGACAGTGATGTTTTCTGAACAATTGTGTAGTTTAACTATAATAGTAAAACACTGCCATGAAAAACAGCTATACGTCCCCAAAAATCATATAGTTTCCTTTAATTTATTGACCTTTTCCTACAGAAAAACATCATTTAAAAGACCGGCTCTATAATTCAGTTTATTGGAAACAGTAAAGGACAATATGTTTTTATTTGTTTAATCTGTAAAAGTGTTTTAAAGCCATCAAAAACATCTTTCTTCCCTGAATCTTCGAATGTGTTTGTACTGTGTTTCTCAAAGCAACACAAGTGTCCTTACAATTGCCAAATTCAGACTGAGATATTATTGGTATTTTCTGAATAGGGTTGCAAAGTATTGTCCATGTGTAATTTGAGAGATAACCAAAGATCTACTGGGAGTAATGGGAAGAAATAGCACTGACCAGTAAAAAGGTCGATAGAGCATTACCAAAAAACATTTTTTGTCATAGGTACCACCATCAAAAATTCAGGAATTGAGCATATTGAATATTACAGGCATTTTATATATTTACACTTGAATTACAGTAAAAATGAAGAAAAAAAACATTGAAATGTAATAGAAACAGTTAAGAATTTAGCTTGCTAGCTAAATATTAGGACATTTTGCTTTGTATAATGTGTTTTAAAGAGCCAGGTGTGTGTGTGTGTGTCTTGAAGTCGCCAAGAGAAAGATGACATGCAGATGTCAGTTAATCGTGATGTCATTTCCTTTCCAGTATGGCACCACTGCTCTGATGGTTGCCTCCTACAGTGGCCACTACGACTGTGTGAAAGAGCTGATCATGCAAGGGGCTGATATCAACTTACAAAGAGAGGTACGGTTTGCCCTGGGGGATGGGGGGGGATGTTTTTGCTAGGGGCCATAGGCAGCCTACCGGTTACTACACTAAGTCCTTGTCTGTGAGCTAACAGCTTAAAGTCTCTGTTATGGGACCGTTTCGTTAAACCTTGCATTTGTGATGGAGGAGCTTGGTGAGATTTCCATGCACTGGCAAACAGGAAGCAAGAAAGTATCTGAGCTAGATGGAGTTTAACTGTGCTAAACTACTCGGGTTCCTGAAAGCACAGGGTCATCAACTCACGGTAGGCTTTGTACCCTAATTTCCCTTCCCTTGTCATCATCCTCTGATGGAATTCCTCATGTCTTCCAGGTTAGACAAAATGTCAAACTGTAATCAGATCCTGACATCGGTTAGAGCTCAAGCTAAGCGAAAAAGGCCTCTGAGGCTGTTTTAATTTTACGCCATGAGCGTGGTAATGCCATTAGTGTTTGACCTTTTCAGAAAAACTCTCAAGCCTCGCGTTATCTGGGCAGTTCATGGAGGACAGATAGACATATTTATGTCAGAAAGCTGAGAGACTCTGAATCTTCTCACATGATGCTGAAAGTGGGTTCCATGTCTTTATAATCCTGTTTTACTCTCTTCCGTTCATTTATAAAAATTCAAAAGACTTAAGAAGCTTCGGTCAAGGGTAAAGTGAACCACATTTAGAGCAGAATAATCTTGAGTAGTACTATGACAGTGTATGGGACTTGACCCCACATCCTTCTAAGTCACAAGACCATGTTCTTAACCATGACGCCACCTGGCTGACAGCAGAGGAACGTGCTTATTGTGTGGTGTCTTTTTCAGTCGGGTGCCACAGCTCTGTTCTTGGCCTCGCAGCAGGGCCACAACGACATTGTGAAGCTTCTCTTTGAGTTCGGGGCCTCCACCGAATTCAAAACCAAGGTACCTTGTTAGCGGCGGTTGGGGGGGGGGGGGGGGGGGGGGGG